AGGTTATGGAGTGATGAGTAATAGATCGCCAGCCATGTCACGCCAGCAGTTCCAGGGACGTCCTGTGCGAAAGAAGGGGTAAGAACGACACACCGTGTCAGTTTCACCTGCAAGGATCATTGATTCTGTGCCATGGTCCTCCATAAGTGAAAGGTGGTGGTCACCGTGATCAAGTTCTAACATGCGAGACTACCCGTGGCCTCCAACAGGCAGCGAAACAAGTCTTCTGGGCCGTCTAACGGTCTAACCCCTTTTTCTCTCCCCATGAATTCCCCTCATCCTTATTCTCTCCTCGAGGCCAAGCAAGCCGCCCCACCAACAAGGCGCCTTATTGTAGCAACACCCCTCCATCATCTGAAAGATCTTGAAATCCGTCAATCCAACGGTCCAACCTGCCTTTCGTTGTCGTACTGAGGCAGCTGCGGTTCAAGCTCTCCGATCGGGCCTTCAACTGTACAAGTATGTGTGCTCTCTCTTCTTTCTTTCGTTCTTTTTTTTCCTTTTTTTTTTTTTTCTATTTTATATTCCGTCTGACCAATAATGATGCTCTCAAAACCTATCCGGAAAAAAAAAAAAAAAAGCTTATCCTACGACGAACACGACCGATGGTCTCGATCGACTGCGCCCACAACTTGCCTTGATTAGCGGTTGTGCGCGCATAACACGGGTGCTCCTGGTCACATCCGAGTCCTTATATCTGGTTACCCCAATCATTCCCCTCAGTGGCGATGATCATAAATCCAACTCTGTGATCCGACGAACAGGAGGCACGTCTCACCCCTGCCCCCGACGTTGAAAAAAAGTGGTGATTATTTTGCTGAATTTGGTGCAACTTTCGGTCTAAATTCTGCTGTAACGACCGTACGTTGTATTGGACGGAAGACTGTAGTGTCGAGGGTCGGAAATAAAAAGTACGCAAGGCCAAAATTATAGACATACTAAAAAAAAAATAAAAAAATAAAAAATAACAACAACAATTATAGACTTACCTACCTACTATAGTCGCGCCTATAGGAGCGACGATAACTTTCCTGGTCGATAATTTGCTTCCACGTGCCACGTGGCGAATCGACGCCCCGGCATAGAAGATTCTCTCGGCGAGGATCCGCAAAAGATCACACACCTTGCGGCGAAAAGATGATAAGCGAAGTGCTGTTCGTCTCCTCCGACGCTGATGTAAGTTCCGTTCGGGTTTCGAAACGCATTCCGTTAAGTTATCCCAAACGAATTCCGTTAAGTTATCCCAAACGAATTCCGTTAAGTTACCCATCGGAGTGGAGTGATCCGTTGACGATGTTGAATTGGAAGACGTAGCCATCATCCGTTCCCAGGATCAACGTCGCATTCCTGCCGTCCTTCTCCTCCCTGATGGACACAGCACAGACTCCGGAGAGCTGCTCGACTCGATAGGTAGCTAAGGTGGCGACCCGTCTTGCGGGGCTGCAAGAAGAGTCTACCTGGATCCAGATCACTCGCCCCCACCCCCATGCCGAGTCGCCGACGAAGACATTCAGCCCATCACCGGTCACGGCGAGATCTTGCAGCTTGCCAAAGGCGAATTGAGACTCAAGGCCATCACTGCTGCTGATGCTGCTACTGCTGCCGTCGGTGTGCCGCCCCTGCGTCGCCGTCGATCCTTCCACTGCTTGTTCGTCCGGCGGCAATCCGCTGCCGGCGACGAGAGTGACATTCTTGGTCACCAGATCGAGCCCCCAGACTTGACCCCTATCGATCCGATCGATGAAGTAGAGACAAAGGCCGTCGCGGGTAAAGCTCTGGGGGCTGAAATAGGGCTGGGACATGTTCCAAACCTCCTGATGCTCGTCGAATTCGAGGACCGTTGAGAGGGAGAGGGTCTGATTGGCCAGCAGACCGTCGGCGTTGAAGGTGAGATTGGAGGAGGAGGAGGAGATGCGAGTGGGTGGGAGAATGCTGGAAGCGAGAAACAGCGTGCTCTTGTCGCGATCCCAACTCAATGCCCCGGCCCCGGCCATCGGCAATTGCACGGAAACTCTAGACCCATCTAGGACGCTCAATTCCGTCAGCCATGATTGGTGAGGATAAGGCCGTCGGGATCCGCAGAGAAGGAGCTTCGATGGCGATGTCGAGATGGTCAACGCAGCAGGGTCATCCATATCCCGATCGCATTGGCTTTCCTTGCACATTGTTGCGTTGGTAGGAGGCCCCGTCATATTCCCATCTGTGCCCCTCCACCAATAGCTGATGGTGGAAGCTTCCCCGCCCGCCGCACCGAAATCCCCCTGCTTGATGGACACAAGCGACAACAAGACAGGGTCATCGCATCGCTCGTCGAGGATGAAGAAGAAAGCGCTGCTGTTTGGTGCCAGTACGATGCTCCGAACCGCTGCCTCACAATTCCCATCCGTGAAAGTGAGCGATGCAACGAAAGGCGAGCTTGAGTCAGGGCGGACGACAATCTGACACGAAGGGATGAGGACTCTCTCGTCCAGGATCTTCCATCCCCAACACGGGTAGGGAACTGTTTGCTGCTGCAGCACTCTCTCTCTCCTCCAAGCTTTCCCACCACGCCTGCTGAACTCTCCCAACGAAGACGATGGCAATGTAGAAAATGGTGATGGCGATGGCGATGGCGATGGCAAGAACGACGGCTTGATTTCCGCCAATGCTAGGAACTCGCCGAGAAGCCATAGAGCAGTGGTCACCGCTGTCACCATAGCTGCAGAGGAGTGAAAGCTGCAATTGAGAAGAATAATAGTACCCTCATCCTTCCAGACACCGTTAATCTTCATGTCTTTTTTTTTTTTTTTTTGCTTTTTTTTTTTTTTTTTTTTTTTTTTTTTTTTTTTTTTTTTTTTTTTTTTTTTTTTTTTTTTTTTTTTTTTTTTTT